ATTTAATGAATGAATATTCCTGAAGGTCCTTGACATTTATTCATTCATTGAACAAAAATGATCATGCATTTACTACCATGTGCCAGGCACTGCTCTGAATGCTAGAAATATAGCAGAGAACAAGACAGGCTAAATTGCTGACCTTATAGAGTTGACATTCTAGTGGGAAAGGAAGACACTAAACATGTACTATAATGTTGACAGTCTGTCAGATGGTGACAGGTGCTGTGGAGAATAATGAATGAGGACAGGGAGAAGGGGGGTGGTGCTGGTGATGGAAACAGAAACAGAATTGCAAGTTTAAGTTGGGGGAGGTCAGGACATTTGAGCGGGCCTGGAAGTCTTGGCGCGGGAGATGGGGGGGCCACTATTCCTAGCAGGTGCAAAGGCCCTGGGGTTAAAACAGCAAGGAAGTCACTGGAGTTGGAGGAGAGTTAGAATGGTAGGAGATGAGGGGAGAGGGGTGAGAGGTGGGACAGCAGGTCATGCAGGCCGTCCTGGCAAGGAATTGGATTTCACTCAGACGAAATGGGGAGTGTCTGGAGAAAAGGGGATCTGACAAGTTTTCCTCTGGTCGCTGTGGGGGAGGGGGAGGGGCTGGGGAGAGGATGTTGAGAGACAAAGTCAGAGGCAGGAAGACCAGTGGAGAGGCAGCTCCAAGGAGGTGAAGGGGCTGCTCGGGATCTGCTGATGGGCTGGGGGTGTGGTGGGAGGAGAAGGAAGAGCTGCAGTTTCGCTGAGGCCTGTGGCGGGTTTGTGGCTGATGACACAGGAATCCACAAAGTGCCATCCACGCCTGCCCTCTGTGAGCTCATGCTCTGATTCCTCTGTCCCTTCCTGGTGCATGGAACATGCCCAAGGCCCTGCCCTCCAGGCCTTTCAGAGGCAGCTGGCGGTAGGCCTGGGACCTGAGAGGGGCACTTTTCACCCTGTGACTTCTCCCCAGAGGAAAGGTGCAGGCCAGCATGAAAACTTCCCATTTCCTCTGTGTTCTGTGTTTTTCAAAAAGAGCTTACTACGCTTTTATCATTTGATCTTCAAAATAGACTCAAGGATCATTTTCCGTCATATGAGTTAGAAAACTGAGACCCCCGAAGGGACTTGGCCGAGCTCTCACTGGCAGGTGGCAGAGCTGCAGCCAGAGCCCCACGCCCCTGTGCTGGGTGCCCAGGGCTTCCGCGTCCTTGTGCTGAGAAAGGCCTGGCTCCTTCCCTTGTTCCACAAAAAGAGAGGGCCCCGGCTGAAATGAGACTGCCACCCCACCACAACAGAAGTGGTGGCAAAGCAGCAGTGAGAGCTGTCGAGCTCTTTTACAGTCATGGCCCAGCCCCTGGGCTCTTGTCTGCAAGGTGGGGGTGAGGACTGCGCCTGTCTCACACTCGTGAGGGTTAGATGGATTAAGACATGTGAACCGTCCTTGGCACCAAATATGTGCTCCATAAATGTCACCTATTATTTCTAATGATAAAGGGCTTTCAGAACCACAGAAAAGTCAGATTGGGCATGGCATCCATTTGATGGATAGAAGAAAGTTAACAGTATATCGGGCTTGCCCATGGAGAATGGCAGATGCCGGCCACTCCAGCTTCCTGACTCTGAGAGATACAGCTCTTCAGTGATGGCAGCTACTGATCGCCCCTTAGGAAGGACAGGGCATTTAGTAAGAGTTAAGCCTCCCACCTGCCCCAGGGTTGGGGTGTGAGGCAGAGGGAAGGCAGGATGGCGTGTCTGGCCATATGGTGCTGTGGGCTCACAGGCCCCCTCCCACACCCCCTCCCCAACCCTGCCTGCCCGTCTTCCTGAGCCCCTTCTAGTGCTGCAGTGTGCCGGACCCTGCCCATCTCATCTAATCCTTAAACTGGGCTGGGTCATCCTCATTTCCCAGCAAGGCCCAGCCAGGCCATGTGAATTGCTCAAGGTCACACAACAGTTTGGTGGCAGAGCAGGGACCCCAAGGCTAGAGCTATGTCTACTATACATGCCACCACAGCTGGGAGCCAGGGAGGCCCATCCCCTGCCTACACCAAGGGAGGGACCACAGCAGGTCCCATCGTCCCTGGGCCTGGCCAAGGTGGAGAGTGGTCTCTGCCCTTGTGCATTTCTCCTCCCGCTACGTGCGGGTCTTAGCTGCACTGTCCCCGCCTCCATGCTTGAATGTGCCCTTGGTCCTGGCTCCCAGTTCCCTCTGCTCTCCTCCAGCAGAGCCTGGAGGTTTGTTGTTGTTGTTGTTGTTGTTGTTGCTTTTGCTTTAAAGACATACGCAATTTATGCATACAAGGCAAAATTTAAAAGTCATAAAAGAGCCCCAGTGAAAAATCTCCCACCTCATTCCCCAGCCACCCACTTCCCCCAACACAGCCACTGCTACCAGCTTTCCAAAAATATTTCTGCTTATATATTCCCACTCCCCATATAAGTGGAAGCATCTGCAGCCGTGCTCTTGTGCACCGTGCTCCTTTGGCTTTAGTGACATGGCTCAGGGAGGGCGCACTGAGGGCCAGAGCCTTCCCCTGCAGGCCTGCACCACCACTTACTTAACCAGCCCGCTGGATGCACATCCGGGTTTCCAGCCTTTGGCATTTTATAGGAAGTGCTGCAGTAAGTCGGATTGGGTGACAGCAGTTCGCCCAAGTGGCTGGAGGGTGAATTCCTAGGACCGCAGGGTGCTACCGGGTGAGGGATGTGTACCTCTGTGACTGTGAGAAAGGACATCAAGTTGCCCCCCCCAAGTTTGTGTCAAGTCATCTCCCCACTACCAGAGGTGGGTTTGACCTTCACTCCACGAGAGAGTTCCCCTGACAGCTGCACATTGTGCGGATCCCCAAGTTCTATGTGACTTCAGGGGTTCTAGATGGCTCCAGCCCCAGGCACACTGACCTAACCTGGCTGAAAGTCCTTCATTAAATATCCCTGCCTTTTACTTCACCATATCTAAATTCAAAATTTTCCTGTTCTTTTTTTCTGAAGATTTTATTTATTTTTAGAGAGAGGGGAAGGGAGGGAGAAAGGGGGAGAGAAACATCAAAGTGTGAGAGAAGCATCAATCGGTTGCCTCCTGTATGCGCCCCAACCGGGGACCTGGCCCATAACCAGAATCAAACTGGCCAACTTTTGCTTTGCAAGACAACACCGAACTCACTGGGCCCCATCAGCCAGGGCACAAATTCAAAATTTTCTTTATGAAGCAAGTACTGCTTTATAAGTGAAAAGTGCCAAATTAAGGAGAAAAAAAAAATCAGACTCATTTCTTTGTCCCTTAATGAATTCCAGCTGCCCTCTCCTCCTATTCCCCCAACCGTCACCGTGCATGAGTTTGTGGGAAAGTTTGAGTTTTTGCTAAGGGGAAAGAAACAAAATATACTGAGTGCTTGAGAGAGGCAGGAGGCAACACTGTGTTATTACTGGGAAAAGAGCACCAGCCCCTGGACAGACAGGAAGACTGAGGCCAGAGAGGGCAGTGATATCCTTGACCCAGGATCCTCAGGTGTTGGTGTACCTGCCCTGAGCCCGATGGCCAGCAGCTGGTAAGGGCTTAGGGCCCCCTGGACCCCCAGCTTGGGCTGATTCTTGCAGAGGCCAAGTGTCTTCATCCGTCAGTGTTTTCAGTCCCTGAGGTTACAATGCAGAGTCAGGGAGGTGACCCCAGCCCCAGGCTGTCAGCTTGTAGTGCGACTGGGCCTGGGTAGGCCTCACTGCCCCTTTGAAGACCAGGCTGGCCCTCTCCTGATGACTGAGCCATTCTTGCGTGGGGTGGCAGTGAAGCCTGGGTCGGGGATGGGGGTAGGGCAGCGCCCACACCAGCCCAGGGGCAGCGCATGGCCTCGATTGGACAGCCATGATGCTACTGACAGTTCCAGGCCACATACAGCTGCCTGATGCTCACACAGATCACAGTGGTCTGACCTGTGGGCCAGAAGCTGCGTGTCTGGGACTCTTAGAGACATAGAAGCAGCTAATGGAGGCCTTTGATTTGAGGCTGGGCACAGGGCAGCCAGAAGGGCATTTGCCAGGCCCAGCAGCTCAGGGAACTGAGGAGGAGCTCAGCCTGGGTGGGAGATATGAGGGGACCTGCAGCCAATTTCCCAGGGGACTTGGGTCCAGGCTGTAGGTGAGTGGTTGGGGGAGGACTTAGGGGCTGAGACCAAGGGCTTTGCATTGGTTGGGGTGGCGGTAGGGAGCTTAGGTGGGTGTTTGGGCCTGGTGCAAGGATCTGTCTAGGTCAGGGTGGGCGGTGCTGAGGGGGTCAGATTGATAAGTCAGCTGGGGTTTATTGAGCTCTAGTGGGCCCTACAGAGTGTCAGGCCTGGGGGGAGCGGGACGTGCAAGACATGCACAAAGATAAGCCTGATTGCTCGCTTTGAAGACCTGTGTGTCTATGAATCAAACTGCAGATTTTTTTAAAAAAAGATTTTATTTATTTTTAGAGAGAGGGACGGGGAAGGAGAAAGAGAGGGAGGGAAACATCAATGTGTGGTTACCTCTTGCGCATCTCCTACTGGGGAACCTGGCCTGCAGCCCAGGCATGTGCCCTACACTGGGAATTGAACTGGTAATCCTTTGGTTTGTAGGCCTGCACTCAATCCACTGAGCCACACCAGCCAGGGCAGCAAACTGCAGATTTATATAAAGCAAATATGCAATTGCATGGCTCTAACTTAGCTGTCAGTTCAGGAACACAAAACAGTGGTGGGCACCATGGTTCTGGTGGTTGAAACAGGCTTCTAAGAAGAGATGCCTACACTGGAGCTGGAGAATGGATTTAAGGGACAGTGGAAGGAGAGGAAATGGAGTGAAGCGCTTGTGGAGGAGGGTGGGCATAAGGGGTGCTTCAGGGTGGCTCTTGGGGTGAGCCAGTCCCTGGGCAGGAAGTCTCCACACTAATGCAAGGCTAATGCCTGTGGAGCCCTCATCCCCACAGAAAGTTGGGGCCTGGGCCTGGGCCTGGATCAGGGCATGTTGACATGTCCCTCATCTCCAGGGATCTCTCTCCTGCCCTCCAGCACATGAGCAGCCCAGCCTGCTGACCACCGCTCCACACCTGTCCATCCCCCCACGACCACACCATGTCCGGCTCCTACGACGAGGCCTCACTAGCTCCTGAGGAGACCACTGACAGCTTCTGGGAGGTGAGGCTTTGATGCCCCCAGTTCCTGGGAAAAGACAGGCTGGCTTTGTGGAGGCTCAGGCCCCCGCCCACCCCATGACCTCAGGCCTTGCTCCACAGCCCCTCGGACTCCTCCAAAACCTTACGTGTCCAACAGGCTACTAAGTACCCTGAGCCCAGAGCCCCTCAGCCCCACGGCTGTCCCTGGAGACATCCCATGGTATTTCATGATGTAGAACGGGCCCCTTATGACCCCCTGCTCAGGGGCTCTGGCACAAGTCCTGGTACTTCACACAGGCAGGTGAAGCACTTTACAGTTTACACAGCCTTTCAGTGCCGCTCCCTGCCCCTACCCTGTGAAGTGGGCAGAGGGCGGAGCACTGGTAGCTGGGAAATGGAATGAGTTCAGGGAGTCCTAGAGCATCGTAGAGGTGGAGACAGGACAGTATTTCAGAGCTTCCCAAAATATGTGAAACCCAGATTTTTTTTTTGTATTGGCTTATGAAGCCCAAAGTGAAAAGTGCCAAACCTAAATTAATAAGTGTTTAATGAGATGTCTACAAAGCATAATATTATGTGAAGAAGTTGCAGTTCAACTCAACATTTATGACTATATAAATATAATAGATTTAGCTCACAAGAACAAAATGAATAATTCATTTGGCTCAAGTCTAAATTATAAAAAACCTGCATTTTGTGGCAGCGATGTAAGGTTTAAAGTGGGATGAGGGAGTGTTTAGGCAGGGGTGTGGGCGCATGGTGCCAAGTCCCCGGAAAGTCAGAGTTTTACACAGCCACACCAGGAAGGCGGTGGCGGGCGCCCCCTGCAGGACGCGGCGGCCAGGGCGGACCAAGGCAGGGAGGCTGACAGAGGCGGGTAGGCGGGAGGCACAGACCCCTCGGGAGTCGTGTTCTTTGCTTGGCCACCAGGTCGGGAACTACAAGAGGACAGTGAAGCGCATCGATGACGGACACCGCCTGTGCAACGACCTGATGAACTGCGTGCAGGAGCGCGCCAAGATCGAGAAGGCCTACGCGCAGCAGCTCACCGACTGGGCCAAGCGCTGGCGCCAGCTCATCGAGAAAGGTGTCCCGCATACCCATCCCGTGCAGAGATCCCAGACCCTGACCCCACTCTCTGGGCCCTGGGAGCACCCAGCCACCTGGATGCACCTGCAGCCTCCAGCCACGGGGCCTTTGCAGACACCGTCCCCACACCTGAGCTTCTCCCCTCCAAGACCAAGCCAGGCCTACCTGCATTTCAACTCCATTTTGTGTAATTTTAGTTTGGACTTGAAAAACAAAGCAAAACAAACAAAAAACATCAAACTTTTTATTTTGAAATAATTTTAAATCAGAGAAAAGTTTCAAGAGTAGTGCAGAGAACTACATACTCTTCATCCAGATTCACCAGTTAACATGTTACCACGTTTGTTTTATTCCTGTTTATATGCATGTTTTTAGAAACCTTTAAGGTGGAGACATGCCCCATCACCTTAAACTCTTCAGGTATCTCCTAAGAATAGAACATTTACTTCTGTAACCACAGTTCGACCATCAAATTCAGGACATTTCATATGGCCCATATGGAAATTTTATCACAGCAATTGTTTGCTGGTCCAGGATCCGATCTAGAATCAGATAATTGCATTTAGTTGTCATGGCTCTAGATTCCTTTAACCTCGAGCAGTTTCAGGTTAAAGTTTACATGTATTGATTAATGTTCTTCTCTTCCACTAGACTCTGAACCCCATGAAGGCAAGGACTGGGCCCATACTGCCCTGCATGGTGCCTGGCACAGAGTTGATGCCTGTACACAGAGAAACAAATGAGTGTGGGATGTCTGGTCCCAGTGGCCTCCTGGTATCTGTCACCAGTTGGTTCTTCAGTTTTGCATTCAGCCAACATTCTAGAGTACCTACTGTGTGCTTGGTGCCATGCTGGGCTTGTGAGAGCTCACAGGGCCGAGGCTGCACCCCGCCCACCCCCCCAGCATGGGCGCACAAGCTGACAAGGAAGATAGGGAGTAGACACGGAGGCAGATGTAGGAGAATTCAGTGAGGGTTGCAGGCTGAGGTGTGTGATAGAGCAGTCAGAGAAGGTTTCCTGGAGTAGGTGGCTGTACTTGGGTTCTGGAGGGTGACGAAAACTATAGGGAGGGTGGAGAAGGGCATTTCTGCTGCCCTGGGAATATGGAGAAAGCCTCAGGGAAGAGGAGGTGTGGGGGGGGGGTCCTCTGGGCAGGGGGTCATGAAGGCCTCGTGACCCCATGGCCATTTCCTCAGGCCCACAGTATGGCAGCCTGGAGCGGGCCTGGGGCGCCATCATGACTGAGGCAGACAAGGTGAGCGAACTGCATCAGGAGGTGAAGAACAACCTACTGAACGAGGACCTAGAGAAGGTCAAGAACTGGCAGAAGGACGCCTATCACAAGCAGATCATGGGAGGCTTCAAGGAGACCAAGGAGGCTGAAGATGGCTTCCGCAAGGCCCAGAAACCTTGGGCCAAGAAGATGAAGGAGGTGCCCAGGGGGTGGCTGCTGCAGATGGGGCAAGGGTGGGTGGGCGAGCGCAGAGGGCCAGTCTGACCTGAGGGAGGGTGTCTATAGGTGGGGTGGTAGCACACTGCCCTCTGGGATTGTGCCCTTGAGGGAGCAGGACTGCCTTCCAAGAAGAAGTATCCACAGATGTGACAGGCACTGCAGTGCTCGCCAGGAGCGTGTCCTAAGGGCAGCAGGCAGTGCCATGCAGGGAGACATCCGCGAATGGGTGGGCACTGCTCCCAAACACCTGGAGCCAGGACCTGCATTCCTCCTCATAAGACTGTATACTCATAGCTCCTGGCAGAGTGGGCAGGTGGGAGGGCTTGACAAGTGACCACATTTACTCCTGTTCAGAAGTAGGAGGCCTGCCCCCTGTTCCCCCTCCCCACAGCTAGAGGCAGCCAAGAAGGCCTACCACCTGGCCTGCAAAGAGGAGAAGCTGGCTGTGACACGAGAGATGAATAGCAAGACGGAGCAGTCAGTCACACCTGAGCAACAGAAGAAGCTGCAGGACAAAGTGGACAAGTGCAAGCAGGATGTGCAGAAGGTGCCGGCCAGGCTGGGTTCTGAGGGCCCCTCGGAGTGGGCGGTGGCTGGCAGCTGTGGGCCTGGGTCTCACCCTACTTTCGCCCTGGTGCCTACAGACGCAGGAGAAGTATGAGAAAGTGCTGGAAGAAGTGGGCAAGACCACTCCCCAGTACATGGAGGGCATGGAGCAAGTGTTTGAACAGTGCCAGCAATTTGAGGAAAAGCGACTGGTCTTCCTCAAGGAGGTGCTGCTGGACATCAAACGTCACCTCAACCTAGCTGAAAATAGCAGGTAGCTGAGCGTGGCAGCATGGTGGACATAGGCACAGGCAGCAGAGGGTAGAACTGATGTGCAGGGCATCCTGGGCCCCACGTTATAGTGGCCGGAAGGGGAGAGCTGAGCTGTAAGGCCCAAGAGAAAAAAGGCTCCAAGCAGTGACTGCCTGGGTGCAAGCCAGTGCACACTAGGCACTCAAGAAATGTGTTTGGATGGGTGGGTGGGTAATTAAGGTGAGGATGGCAAAGGGTACCCACAGGCATGCCCACATGGAGATTGTTCCTTGGGAAGCCTGCCTGGTTCCTAGCTGGGGGCCATGCCAGCACCCTGGTTCCTGAACGGGCTCCTGCCCTCACCAAGGAAAAGAAGGGGCCATGATGCATCATGCCCCCCACCTCCCCATCTCCCCTGTGCACAGCTATGTCCATGTGTACCGGGAGTTGGAGCAGGCCATTCGGGGGGCTGACGCCCAGGACGACCTCAGATGGTTCCGCAGTACCAGCGGTCCCGGCATGCCCATGAATTGGCCCCAGTTTGAGGTAAGGATGTGTGGGGATGGGGAAGGAGAGTATGAAAAACCTGGAAGAGGCCTCAGGGAGCAGCCCCCAGCCTGACTGCCCCCTTGGTGCCCAGCAGGAGTGGAACCCAGACCTCCCTCACACCACCACCAAGAAGGAAAAACAGCCCAAGAAGGCAGAGGGGGTAGCGCTGACCAATACCACTGGGGTGGTGGAGTCCACATCACAGGCTGGGGACCGTGGCAGGTGAGTGCCTCCTGTGGAGCTTCCTGGAGGCCAGGGATCTCTTGAATTTTACCTCAAGAGACAGGAAATGGTCTAAATCACAGCAACCTCATGCTCCTTTCAAAGGTAATGATAGCTAGTCCTTTGAGAGCACCTACTGTATGCCAGGCTCTGTGCTAAGCATTTTCCATATATTAACTCAATGAAGCCTTAAACATTCTGAGAAGTGTGTAAATTCCCATTTTACAGGTGGAGAAACTGATACCCAGAGAGGTTAAGTGATTGCAGAAGGTCACACAGCTAGTTAGTAAGCCTCAGAGCCAGGAGTCTGGCTCCAAAATTATCACTCTTAACCACTAGATTTTACTGGCTCTCTCAGATGAAGAATCAGATGTTCTCGGGGTCCTCTTCAGCACCCCCTCACTCCAAGGCTGAGTAAAATTACCCTAATGGTCTTGCCTCACATCTGTTTAATGAGCTGTCAGTGAGGCTCACTGGCTCAGGATCCCTCTTAGGAGGCCCACCCCTGCTCCAGCCTTGGTGAAATATGGGGCCAGGGCCCTGACTGGGGAGAGGGTCAGCCCTAGGGATGAAGTGAGAGCCAATTAATGCTGGGTCCTCTCTCTGCCTCTCAGCGTTAGCAGCTATGACAGGGGCCAGCCTTATGCCACTGAGTGGTCAGACGATGAGAGCGGGAACCCATTTGGGGGCAATGAGGCCAACGGGGGCTCTAACCCCTTCGAGGATGACGCCAAGGGAGTGCGTGTGCGGGCACTTTACGACTACGACGGCCAGGAGCAGGATGAGCTCAGCTTCAAGGCTGGTACGGAAGCGGGAGGCGCGGGGGGGGGGGGGGGGGGGGGGGGAGCTAAGGGCAGGGGATGCCAGGATTGGCAGGGAGTGCGGTTGTGGGAGGGACCTGGTACAAGGCGTGGCCAAGACCAGGAGTGTGACCTGAGCCCTGGGGCCAACATTTGAACTGGAGGGCAAGCGCAGGGCCTGAGACTGGGCAACTGGGTGCCAGGGGTGGAGTAAGGACCTGAGAATAGGATTGAACGGGTTCGGGACCCACAAGGATTGGGGGCGGGCCTGAGCACCCGGGATGCCGGAACAGGGACACAGACCTGGGAAAGGAAGCTGGAGGCGGGATGAGACCCCGATTAGGTGGGTGGCTGCGGGCAGGACTTGGGTGTGTGGCTGGGGCTGGTCCCCCGGGGCAGGCATTGGGGCAATAAAGAGGGAGGGTTTAGGGGTCGGCGGAGCATAATAGCATTGGAGGGCTTACCTAGCAGTACGGGGGTGGAGGGACGGACTTCTTTGGGTCCCTGTCAACGATCTCCTCTGTGTCCCCTTCCCAGGAGACGAGCTCACCAAGCTGGGCGAGGAGGACGAGCAGGGTTGGTGCCGCGGGCGGCTGGACAGCGGGCAGTTCGGCCTCTATCCCGCCAATTACGTGGAGGCCATCTAGCTGCCCTGCTCCCCTCCACACTACCCCTCACTCCTTGCCCTCCCTTCCCAATCTTGTCACCTCCCCTCGCCATAGAGCTCCAGACATATTTTCCGATCAAGCTTTTATTTTTTTAAAAGTCAAAACAGAACAAAACAAAAAATACAAAGAGATGGAGCATTTGCAGGGCCCCCTGGAGGCCAGGCTGGAGGCGCTTGGGGTAATGGCCCCTGGGTAGGTCAAGGTCTTAGGACTTAGCCCAACAAAGACATCACAACATCTGCTCTTTAGATCCCACCAAAAAGTCCCCTCAGCCCCGAGAGGCATCTCCTGGGCCCTTTTATTCTGATTCAGTGCCCCCATCCCATCCCTTTCCTCCCCACCCCTGGCTGCCAGCACCTGCCCCACCCCCTCCCCTGGCCACTGTTTTCTGACCTCTTTCTCCTGCCCCATGCTGCTCCCCTTCCACTACCACTTTACTCTCAGAGGCCTCCCCTCCAACCCCAGACAAGGGGCCTCCCAGTGTCGAGTCTTCCACTGTGCCCTGGGGAGTGCTCTTCTTCTCTGGGCCTCGCCCCTCTGGAAGAGAAATAGTCACCCTCTTTTCCCATAGAGGTTTCCAGGTGTCTCTAGACTCTCTCAGGCATGAAGAGGGTTGAGCTGGAGTTGGTGACAGAGTCACTGTGGTGTAGGAGGGTGAGTGAAGGGGGAGCAGGCTCTCAGGCTTCCCAACGCCAGGATCGGCTGAGGAATGGGGACCCTGCTAGGGCCCTTCTTTCCAGCTGTCCGCACTTCAGGCCTGGGCTCTTTCTCAGAGCCATAGCCTTCGGTACTTGCAGAGACACTCTCCCCACAAAGTCCTCAGGCAGTGGGGAGGGGCCCCAAAGCACAGGGCAAAGCCAGCAACAGTAGCAGCCTCCTCCTATTTCCTGGGGAGGAGGGCATCTTGCTCACCCACCCACCCTCCTTCACTCCCCACACCCACCCTCCTTCCCTTTACATCCATCTAAAACTAGAGAAGCACTAGGTTCAGCCAGCCTTCAGGCCAAGGCTTGGAGTCTCCTATTTTCTTTCCCATTCTCTGGCCTGCCTGGGGAGATACCGTGGGCCCCATGGGAGCGTCCAGCCTGGGACCATCAGGGAAAGCCTGCAGCCAATAGCAGAGGCATGGGGTTGGCAGGAGGGAGGAGCCCTGGCCCTCAGGAGCAGGGCAGTCACCATGTCTTCCTTCTCCCCTCCATAATCAAGGCCCTGGCCCTGGAGCAACGTTCCCCCTGCTGGCAGCGCCTTCCCCCTACCCCCTACCCCCTACACCCCACCTCTCCAAGCCTGGGTCTCAGTTAAAGGACGGTGGGGTGAGAGGAGACAAAGGGCTTGCCCAGAGCAGCAGTGTTTCCTATGGCTGGTGAAAGAAAGTAGTGCTGGATTACCGTGGCAGTGGGGGCAGGGTGGTTGGAAAGCAGACCGAGGTGGGACAAGATCCCAACAAGTGGGGCACTGGCTGGAAGAGGAATCTCCCAGAACCTCTGCAGGGAGGCCCTGAGACTTCCTGCAGCACCAGGTGAGCCTTACGGTGATGCCACTTTCGGGCTTCAGGACTGTAGACACCCTACTCCCTCCCATCGCACCTGGCCCCCTGGGCCTCTAGGTGAAGACAGCAGATACCCCAGCCCCTCTGTCGCCCATCCGCCTCTTGCTCCTGCTTCTTCTCCCCTACAGTCTACTGGTAGGTCACAGGCCCCAGCCTCAAAGTCCTGACCCTGCGGTTCATGTGGCACAGAGAAACCTGGCATCCTCAGGCAGGGACCAGAGCTGGGGCAGGCCTCCCTCAAGGCCAGGAAAGTTGGCGGGTGGGGATGATGGCACCCCTAGGGACAGGCAGGCTCCCCTCCACAGCACACCTCTTCTTATCACTGCTCTGTAGGCCTCTGTTGCAGCCCGAGATATGCCCAAGGCCCCTTAGGGCCTGGAGCAAGATTTTGGGAACCTTCAGCCCTCCCAATGCCAGAACAAAAGCCCCTTCTGCCTCTCCTCCAAGCAGGAGCTGGAGTTGAGGGCCTCTGCCCTTTACCACCTACTACTGGAAGTCAGGAAGCTGCCACATCTGCACCTTGGAGCCTAGGCTCCCTCTCTCTGTGCCAGCAGTTTCCCAGCACCTGGGGAGGGGCAGTGGCCCTGGCTGTCCCCCTCAGCACTCTAGCTGCCCACTCGGGCAGGGACTTGAAACTCAATTCCTTCTGAGCACTGGGTCCCGGGCTCCTCAAGCCCTGGAGTGGGAGGGTCCCGCCTGGAAGACCCCCTGAGCTCCCGGGGCCCAGACCCACCTGCCAGTGCTGGTGTCAGGGCCCTCAACGTCAAGCGTGGGGCCGCGCTCCTCACCGAGCCCACCGCCTCCTGTAGCCCCCTGCCCGCACCCTCGATGCTGCACGGGCCACTCTCCAGGGCTCAGCGAGTGACGTGTCTCTTCCCAAGTTAACCACCGTTCTGCGGCCTGGCCCTGCAAGGAGCCAGGACTGCCCTGCCACCGCCCTCTGCCGCCCTCGGCTTCCTGACTCCATTAGTCCGACACTTGTGAAACTCCGAGAAGTGCTGTGGTCTCAGCAATGCACCTGTTTTGTACATGATTGTGTAATTTAAAGGTATATAAATACAAATATATATATATATAGGTTGTGATTGTATGGCTGTGGATAAAATCCAGAACTGTGTCAACCTGGCTGGGCGTTGTCATCTTGAGTCATGTGTCTTCTGAGGCCTCCGAGAGTTACCTGCGGTGGGGATGTCTGGCGGGGAAGGAGAGCCCAGGACACCTGGGGGCTGTCCTGGCTGACTACCAGTGGGCTTGCCCCTTCCCTTCCAGCGCCCAGGGTCTTGCCTGTGCGGGGTGGGGGGGGGGGGTCACGCCGGGTGCTCTCTGAGGTTCCTGAGTGGCCCCTAGGGTCCTGGGTGCCTGGCAGTGAGCACTGACCAGGAAAGCTGGGGCATTTAGAGTCCCAAACTCACAGTTCAGGGGTGAATTTGACCCCTGGAAAGGCTTCTGTTTTTAAAGCAAAACTCTAAAAGTGATTGCTAAAGCCAGTGGTTCCCGGTTGCCCACAGTCCCAGGCAGGGCAGGGAGAAAAGGTCAGATGGAGACGGAATCTCTTCTCCACCACAGAGCCTTTCTCCCCAGACCCACCTCCAATGACAAGAGCCTGGCTTTAGCCAAATGGAGGATTCTTCAAATGAACACAAAGGGTTGCCTTGTCTCATTTGCACAAGCTGTTTTGTGCAGTGATGGGGAGCCCTGGATGCGGACCCATGAGGAGGGTCAGGGACTACCTAGGCTAGACAGGACGGGGTTCTGATGGGCAGGTGTGTGGAGGAGGAAGAGGAATCCAAAGTTTGCGGCCAGCACACAAGGTGTCACTGGATGGGTGTGTGCCCCAGAGGGGACGTGTGCCTCGTGGCTGATCCTCAGAGCAGGAAGCTTCTTCACCGCACTCCCCACAGCTCCCCTTTCTGGAGTTCCCTGCTTCCCCCTCTCCTCCTCCCTCCCCCACCTGAGATCCCAGCCCCCACCTGAGATCCAAGGCCTCTGCGGGCCCACCTGGGGATTTGGAAGCAAGTGGCTCCAGGGACAAAGTTGGGGGTAGGACAGGCAGGCAGGAAACAAAACCAGTTCAGCAGAGCCAAGCTGGGTTCTGGCCAGGGTCCCCGCCTGCTCCCTCCTGAGGGGTGGGCAGACAGCAGGGGCCCAGGTAGGCACAGGCTTGGGGCAGGGCCCCCTCCTCCTCCGGATCCAATCCCAGCTGACAGGTGCCAAGGTGCTGTTTGCTCACTGCCAGGAGTAAACTTTCTTTTGAAGACAATAAAATTGAGGAGGGCAGAAGGCGGCAGTACAGAGCAGCATTTAACCCTCAGTGGTCTGGGCCGCACTGGCTGGTTCCCAGCCTCAATCCCTGGAAGCCTGTCCTCAGAAGGTAAGTGTTACAGAGGCTAAGGGTGCTGACCAGTCATGAAGCAGAGAGAGCCCTGTCCTGGTGGGTTTAGTTCTTGGTTCTGCTGCTGATTGGCTGTGTGTGAGCAAGGCAACTGCTCTGAGACTCAGTCTCATATCTGAAAAATGGAGGGATAACCCCTATTTTTTGCAGTGGAAGCACATAGCCCTCAGGGCTCCTGCGCTTGCTGAACGGATGTGAGGAAAGCATGAGGAGGAAGCTGAGTGAGCTGGTTTGCCCAGGAGAGTGGGCACTGGGTCCCATCTCCCCCAACACTCTCTCTCTCTCTCTCTCTCTCTCTCTCTCTCTGTCACCACACCCTTTCCCCAACAAACCCTCACACCCCACCCACAGGGCTGGCAGTTTCAAAGAGGGCACTACTGAGATCTGTGACCTCCCCCTTCAGGAAGGAAGAAGCTCAAACAAGGCAACCTCTCTTCCACCCTGTTCCTTGCAGAACCAGTGTCTCACGAGGGGCACTGAAGCACCCACCCTCTGTCACACCTCTGCTGCCCCAGCCCAGAGCCCCCGTGGCTGGCCAAACGGAGACAAGAGCTCTTGGCCCCCTTGCAGGAGGGCCAGGCCCTGGCCCACCCCAGGCAGAAAGTCCTGATCTACAGCAGAGCAAGAGGATGGCCGAGGACCCTGCCCTCTCCGCACTCCTAAGTAGAGACTCTTGTCAGCTCCAGCCCCTCCCTCCTTTCAGGCCCCACTGGAGTTGGGGTAGACAGGGGACATTCCAGCCCCTTTTTGGCCTTGAGGACTCACTGCCACTCTCCCACAGTTGCTACCAATCAGTCGTTCCTTTCCTTTTAGGCTCAGCTCAATGCCACCTCCCCCAGAAAGCCTCCCTCCCTTGACCACCCCATGCCCCTGTGACCAGAACCCCTTTGAGCATTGATGGCTCTTTGCTGTGCCGCTGACTCACTGCACAAACACTGGGGCCATGTCAGTTTTCTAGTATCTTTATTACCCGTGCCCAGGGGCACACCTGGCTCCCCAACTCGGGGATGCAGACATCTCCTGGCACCATGCCAGGCACGGTGCAGAGTGAGTGGAAGAGAACAGTGGACTGTGTGTGGCCCTGGGCAGGTCATCGCCATTCTGCTAGCTCTGCTCTAGAAATGCTGAGACCAGAGGCTGGAGCGGAGGGCAGTGTGCATACTTCCCTGGGGAGTGTGCATACGGAGGACAGCCCCAGCTCCCTCCATCCTGCAGTGGGCTGGGCACGTGGACAGTCAGGCCTGCGGAGGAAGCTCCCCACCCAGGGTCCCTTGGGCCCCAGGGAGCTCACTTACACGCCTGGGAGCCATCCCCTCCCTGACCTTGGACTCCGAACGCCAGCACACTCCCTCGCCCCCAGCTTGGGGTCTGGCCCAGACAAGGGCAGACAGGAGGGAGGTCCAGGGAGGGTGAGCTTCAGGCCCGGGCCTGGCCCTTGGCCCTCAGATGGGGTGCACGAACTGGTAGACGAGGCGCTGGGAGATGTCCGGCTTCCGGATGATGCCCTTCTTGTAATACTGGCGGATGGAGCGGCTCAGCTTGTCGTAGTTCATGGCGGGGCGGTTCTTTCGGATGCCCCACAGCCGGGCCACCTGGGCGGAGTCCTCAATTTTGAAGATGCCTGGGGGAGCAGGAGGGCCCAGAGACAGCCAGCAGTGCAGGTGGGCAACAGTCAGAGGGAGAAAGACCGAGACCAACAAGTCAGTTTCTTGGAAAGCCAAGCCAGCCAGTGTCCTCAGGGGCTGCGCCAGGCTGTGGGGGCCACAATACCTACTCCCAAGGTTGTAGTGAGGGCTAAAGAAATGTGTGCAAGGAGCATGCCACAGGGCCCAGTAAGTGGTAAATAATACTATGGAGGCTTGAACCTGCTGGGTGCAGGTGACCCTGGATAACTTAGTGGATTATTCGGGGCCCTGAAGGCCTAGCCCTCACCAGCCACTGCTCCTACTGTGGGGTTTGCACACTTTACAGAGAAGCTGAGCGGGGCCTGACTATGCCCACAGCTCACTTGGCAAGCCGTCCCCTCACCCCACCCCTACCACCTTGGAGTTCCCAAGCCTGAAAGACCTCTTTGCCATTTTCAGACACCTCAGCTCACATAGCCCTTGCTGGCAGATTTAATTCAGGGGAGGTGGGGGAAAGAGTGGATTTGGAGCTGGGCCAACCTAGGTTTGATTCCTGGCCCTGCCATTTTCTACCTTTAGAAGCTGTCCGAGGCCCCTTTTTCCTGTCTAAGTGGGGGTTGAGTGGTTACAGAAAGTGCTTAGAGTGGAGTCTAAAGGAAGTGCCCCTTGGGAAGAACCATTGCATTGTTAATACCCCCAGTTCTCATTCTTAAACCCTCCTGGCAAGGCCCAGGTCAGCACACTGCCTTTGGGCAGCGTCCCCAGACATCCTCACTCTCCCTGACCTCCTTCCCTAAAACTCTACCATGGGACCTTCTCCCCAGAGCACCAGAGGACCAGTGGAACAGCTACTTCACTCTCAGTCTTAAATTTACACATAGAGTCATCACACCTTGTGCAGGAACTTCTCTTCTACCCCTTCTGGTCCCCTCTCATCCTCCACACTCAGCCCCAGAGTCACCTCCTCCGTGAAGTCCTCCTTGACCTGGGCACGGCAGCCCCCACGGTCCTGTTGCAGCCCTGACATGCTCTGCACACCAGCTCATTTTACTTCTAGTTCCCCTACAAGACTGTAGGTCCCTTGAGGACCGAGTATAGCTGAATCCCCCCCCCGAACCCTCAGGACACTGTAATTCTTTGTAAATGTCCTCTGAGCAAGGGATGAAAAGATTTGCTCAGTGAGGTCTGTTGGGTGATTGAATCTGAAGACTCAGGTCCAGGCACCCATAGCTACTAATAACGAGATGGGGCTTAGAACCCAGGTTTCTTGGCTCTGAGCCTTTGCCACACACACACACACACACACACACACACACACACACACACACCATGGAGCCCTGCAGTGTCCAGTGAGGTAGCCACTAGCCACAGGTAGCTCTTGAGCACTTGAAATGTGGCAAGTCTGAACTGAGGTGCACCATAAGTGTAAAATGCACATCAGATCTCAAATACTTAGTAAAATATCTAATTAGTACATTTTATATTTGTTATATGTCAAAATTATAATAAGTTATGATAGAGTTAAATAAAATTATTAATACAGTTGATTTCACCCTTTAAAAATTTTTTTACTGTGGCTGCTTAGAAACCTAGTATTACATATGTGGTTCACATTGTATTTCTCATTGGCTACCATCAGTATCCCTGTGAAGCTATTTTTTTTTCTTTTTAAAAGATTTTATTTATTTTTTAGAGAGAGGGGAAGGGAGGGAGACAGAGAGAAACGTCATGACATGCGAGAGAAACACCCTCAACTGGGGACCTGGCCTGCAACCCAGGCATGTGCCCTGACCAGGAATCAAACTGGTGACCCTTCAGTTCACAAGCCAGGGCTCAACCCACTGAGCCACACCAGCCAGGGTGAAGCTATGATGTTTTCAGGACAAAGACTGTGTCCCATTCTCAGCAGAATTTCAAGCGCATACTACGTTCCAGGCGTTGTGTGGCGCTGTGGATCCTGAACAGGCAGAGCCTGGCCTGCAGACAGGCAGGCAGACAGGCAGACATGGACACAAATTGCATAGAGACCCAGAGTGGGTCCAGTGACAGCAGCATGTCTGTCATTCAGGGCAAAGGTGAGGGCCAGCTCCATCCCCCTGCCCAGCCCCCACCCCTCCCTGGGCCTAGTGCCTGTTAGGAACCTGGGCAGTCCTCACTGCCCCTAGCACCCCCTTGTACCTTGTCAGGGCCCAAAGCCTCACAGTGCCCCCACCAGACGCCCAGCTCACCCTTCTCCTTGTTGAGCCACCGGATGAAGCGGCCGTAGCTGTGGGGCTTGAGCAGCAGCTCCTTGAGGAACTGCCACAGGTGGATGGGCTGCCCGGAGCAGGATGAGTCCACTTCGCTGTCCGTCCAGCTCTCCTCGCTGGTCGAGGCTGGGCAGCCAGGGAGGGTGGCGGTGAGGGGGGAACTGCAGCCACCCCCTGTTTCCGTGGCAGCCACCCCTCGACCTCAGACCTCAGACCTCAGGGCCCGGCCCCCTCACTGCCCTGCCCTGCCCTGCTCACCGCAGAAGTGAACTGTCCCAGGGGAAGTCCTCTCTTTCATCCAGGCCGCTGCAGGACAAGGAAAGGAGGTTGGGGACCCAGGAGAGACCCCAAGGGGATGGAGGACATTTTGGTGGGACTGTGGGGCCACAGAGGCCCCACTATGGTCCAGATTTTCCAGTGGCTCCCCTCCCTCCGGCCAGTCTCCAGCTACTTCCGTGAAGGAAATTTGGAATGTCAGAGCTGGGAGGGGCCTTAATAGGCCTGGATGCAGCCCCTTGTTGTTCAGACAGCAGAGCCGAAGTGGAGCCTTGCTCACCTATGAAATGGGGTCAGGACACTTCCGCACAGATCTTGTAAGGATCCTCAGTGATGAAGCCTGCACAGCGCCTCGTTCAGTGTCCCGTATAATATACACCCACTATCCGCCAGCTGCCAAGTTCACCCAGTACTTCCAACCCTCCTGCTCTCTGCCCAGCCCTCTCCCTGTTTCCCCATCCCAGCCAAGCAGTGGTGGGGGTGGCAGGGGGTGTGTGTGAAGGCAGCCAGTTTCCAGCCACACCACCACCCGGCACTCAGCCTGATACTGACCGCTGCCCTTGGCAGCTACTGGCAAGGAGCCTGAGTGGGGCAGGGCACTGGTCTCTGACTGGGTCATATGAGAAGGTCCTGTCCCTTTGTTCACCGGGGCCCCTAAGGTCAGGGGCCTTGGCGCACTGAGCAGGCACTTCCTCCAAAGCACATTGGTCTGTGCAGGGCCCACAGTGGGCGCCCAGTGAGATGGAGAGGGAGTTGGCATACAGCCTTTAAAAAGAATAGGGAAGCAACGGGGTCCTGATGGAGAACAAGATCCAGGGCACCGTTAAGTACAGAACAATGTATCCTCTGATACTATTCGTGTTGTTTTTTTTTAAAGGATTAAAAACCACACATATATATTTGCTTGCATATGCACAGACTTCCCAAGAAACTGGTAACAGTGGTTGCCTCCAGAGAAGGGGATTGGAAAGCGGGGGGCCAGGAGTGAGGGGGAGAATTACTTTTTATGATACACTATTTTTCACTGAGTTTTTTAAAAAAAGTGTACACATTTATTATCCCATTACTTCTCCAGCGAAAAACAGCTGGAAGCAAATGAATGAAATTTTAAAGGGACAAAGAAGGACTTTATCATGTGCACGGTCCCATCAGCTGTGACCTCCCATGTCCTCACAATCTAACTTCTGCCTTCTAACTTCCCCTGTGCTCTGTCCCGAGTTCCATGGGCTTGGCCGGGGCTGGTGATCACCCAGGCTCCAGGGAGGCAGCTGCACTAGGGGCTGGATCCAGAGCAGAGGCCAGCGGAGAGTAACCTCCCAGTGGACATCTTGGCCTGAGCTCTCCTCGGTGTCCCTGGCTTGGAGTTTAGAAGGGGCTGCTCCTGCCCACGCCATGTCCCACCTGATTTCCAGATGTCCAGGTGGGCGTGCAGCACGTCCCCGCCCAGGGGTGAGCGCTGGCGAAACTGCTCCTCCGACATGGCACACAGCTCCTTGCCCCCCAGCTCCTGGAAGGCCTTGCCCACGGGGGGCAGCCGGTACTGGTGCTCCGTCCACAAGAGCCACTTCTGCACGTTGCCAGGACTCCAGTCCATGGGGTCTGGGCAAGAGACACTCCCTCAGCTCCAGGGGGCTGCTTGAGGGCATTACCCAGAAGGTGGCCCACTGTGCTCGGCCGGCACCCCTGTGGGAACTGGGAACTTGTGGCCCAGGATTATGAACTCCTGGGTGGGGACAGGACAGGACAGGCCCTCTTGAGGGGCCCTGAGGAGGGGGTACCCAAGAAGAGACTGGGGTGAGAGGGAGGAGCCAGGGCCTTATAAACAAACGTGGCTCAGGGCAGGATAGCCTGGGACCTCTGTACTTCCTACTTCACCCAGACTTTGGGTTCTCCCACATACTTCTAGCCCCTCCAAAGAACCTTTTGGGTAACTACAGCCTGGAGGGGACAGTGACATTAAACCAGAAACACATGAACTTCTCTTCCAGCTGCCCCTTGCCTTCCCAAAGCCCCTCAAGGAACCAGAGAAAAATCCAACCAAGAATTAACCCTATAACCCAAACCCCCATCCCTCCGCACTGTCCTGTATTTCACAGATGAGAAAACTGAGGCACAGAGAGTTCCATCTCCTCAACACCTAACTAGGGGCTGGGTGAAGGGTAGCTGCTCACTGCACATGCGTTGAATGAATAAATAAATGAACGGCAGGTCTCAGGGTCGTCAGGGGCTACCGCAGGCCTCAGAGGCTGGAGGGGAGTTGCTGGCTAGATGTCTCCCTGGGGAGCTGCTCTGGGGTGAGCCTGGCAGAGCTCATGGGTGGAGGCCAGGCTGGGGGGCACAGTCACAATGGGGTTTCAAGTGAACACTGGTCTAAACTGGTTCCCTAGCTGGGTGACCTGAAGACTGGGCTGCCTCCACTTAATAAACCCATTTTCCTCTCCAGGGTCAAAGCGATTTGTTTCTGTCCCCATTGTTCAAGGACAGGCCACTCCCTCCCCCGCCCAGTGAGGGAGTGAAGGCACCGTGGGAGACCTCCCTGGGGGTAGGGGCCTGCCTGGGCTTTGGGCAACTGGAGGGCTGGGGCGTTGGCAGGAGCTCCCTTAAGGCAGCACCAGCGGGGGTCAGGGGCGTGGTCAAGATGTTTGATAGGAGGAGGGGCCGGGCCTGAGGATGCCTGAAGACCCTCTGTGAGAGCAGCGCTGAGTGATATGTTCATGTGCCGAGGACCATGTTCATGCGAGGACCATGTTCACGTGCCCGGGACCAGGGACCAAGGAGACGGGTCAGGGCTGCCCAGAGCTGCAGAGATGGTGGAGGGACAGGGCTGGAGACCCAGCAGCCCTTTGGCCCACAGCATCAGGCCATAACCACGTCTTTCAAGCTCTGGCAGACACATTCACGCCCAGCCTCCTGATGTCCCTTCACTTTACTTACGATCTGTTTCCCTCACTCTAGCGTCACCTTCATAAATGGGGAAGTTTTGTATTGTGTTCATCACTCAATTCCCCAGTGCTAGAACAGGGCCTGGCATATTAAGTTACTGTTTACTGAGTATAAGGTGCCATCTTAGGACTAGGGACGTAACAGTGAACAAAAAAAATGAAAATCGTGTCCTCTGGGTGTATACATTCCAGCGGGGGAAGACAGAAAATGAACAAGATAAATAAATACAATATGCGGCATATTAGATTGTATGTGCTGCTGCGAGAGAAATAAAGCAGACGGGAGGGACAGAGGTGGGGTGTGAGCAGCAATTTCAACAGAGGGGTCAGGCAAGGCCCGTTAGGTTGGGACCATCGGAGTCAAGACATGAAGCAGGTAAGGGTGGGCCAAGGAGACATTTGGGGGAAAAGTGAGCAAGGTTGAGGGACCACAAGCAGATGCAAAGGTCCTGAAGTGTGTGTTGTACGAGCAGCAAGGAAGCAGGTGTAGCGGAGGGGAGAGTGGAGATGAGTCTGAGAGGAGGCGGTGGCCAACTGGTGCCAAGCTCGAATTCGCTTCATCCAGCAGGGGCTCTGGGCTGGTGCAGGAGGGGCACACAGAGAGTCAGAACCTCCCAGCCTCCGTTCACCGCTTTGTGCAACGGGCTGCCTGTGTGTGTAGAAGCACCAGTATTCCTGGGGCTGCCTGAGGCTGGGCAGGGGCGGCCAGAGTGCAGCAGGCCGTGTCCCTGACCCTCAGCAACCTCAGCCCAGTCTGTCCCCACCTTGCCAAGGTGCATGTGCAGAGGGACTCACCTGCCGTGATGTTGAGCAGCTTGCAGGCTGTCTCAATGTCTTTGAGCACCTCGCCCACCACCATGGACTGCACCTGCTCCAGTGAGTGCTCCTCCAGGGTCAGCCCCCCTGGAACCAAGTCCAGGCTGCTCCCAGGGGCTTGGCTGTCAATGACCGGGCACTGCTCGGGCTCCTCAGGTGGCTTGTCCTGAGTGCTGACTCCGGGGCCCTTGGCGGCCCAGTTGCTGTCCTCGGGGTACAGCATGTCCAAGTAGGAGAGGTAGAAGGCGGACAGACCCTGTTCGGGGGTGGCAGGTGGGCTGGGGCTCCAGTCCTGTCTCTCAGCCCTAACCACGCCGGCTGTCACCTTCTCTGGGCCTGTCCGAAACACAGTGTTGGGGGAGAGCAGGAGGCGGCTGGCGGGCAGGCTGCTCAGGCTGGGGCTGGTGCTGCCCATGCCGCTGCTGCTCAGGCCAGCAGCCGCGTCTACAGAAATAAGAGAGGAAGGAGTCAGGTCTGGCTGCTTCCCCGTCCCCGTGGGGGTCGCTAAGCTGGTTTCAGGGGTGAGGGGCCCCATGGGCAGTGGCTGGGCCTGGGAGAGAGCTGGAGATTCCGGGTCACTGGGCAGCGAGAACAGGGCCAGGAAAGACATGGAGGTGGGAGTTGGGGTAGGATTGTCAAGGGAGCCATTTGGCTGGCTCAGCAAATCTTTGCATGTGAAATGTGCTTAAAACAACTTTCTGAGTTTCTGGACCTCCATCAGTCCTCACAACAGAAGGCATGATTAGTCCCATTTGACAGATGGGCAAACTGAGGCCTAGAAAAGGAGCCTTTAATATCTAGTCCTGTTCCTAAGCCCGCCCATACCCAGATCCCAGTCTACTGTCCTGCACAGGAAATTCCTTCTGAGAGCTAACCTAAATCTTTCCTGCTGTAGCAAAGCTTGTTTTCATTTATTCTGTCCTTGAAGGAAGTAGGGAAGGGAGAGAGTCCCCATCACTTTGATGAGCCAGGTGAAAGAAGAGAGGTGCAAGTGAGGGCTGTGGAGGGGGGTAAAGCACCTCATAAGCTGGGCAGGTGGCCCCCCCACCAGCATAAGGCTAATGAAGTGGACGATAAGCAACAAAGTGTAGATGTGCTTGGCGCGGCTCCCACTCACAGCTGGTACCTATCCTACGCCGACCTCCCCTGAAAGTGGCTGCCCATGGGGCTCTCTCCACTCCCATGGGGCCTGGAGGTGCTGTTCATGTGCTGACCTACAGGCCCCCTTTCCCAGGGCAGCAGGGGTTGGTGAGAAGGCCCAGGCACCAGAACAACAGAGGCCCTCAGCGACTCCAACACCCACTCCTCTCTGAGGCCCCAGAGCCCCGCAGGGGTGGCAACTAGAGGCTTCCCTCCCCATTGGTCACCCGGCTCTGCTGTGCCCAGGTCCTTTTCCCTGCCCCTGCCCCTACTAGAGTACGCTGTTTGGGTGACCAGGGCAGCGGAGAGAGGGGCACACACCAAACAGTGGGGTTTCTGGGATATTCCGATTAGGTGCAGGCTCGAGACTCAAGAATGAATCAGAGCAGAGGTGGAAGATTACCAACAAATACATGTCCCCAATAATACAAGGAGCCATTCAGAAGGGAGACAAGGAGCATGGACGTTCAGGGCAAGCTAATGTGTCCCTTCTCAGGGGTATCTATATTGAAAGCAGAGGTTCTCAGAATGTGGTACTGGGCCAGCAACATCAGCACGGCTGGAAGCTGGCTAGGAATGCGAATTCTCAGGCCCACCTTAGAGCCCTGGATCAGAAGTCGGGGGCGAGGCTGGCGGGGAGGCCCAGCAGTGCCGGTCAGTAGGCGCTGCGGGTGATCCTGACTCGTGTCCACGCTGGAGACTCAGACTCACTGCTTTAAAGGCATCTTTAAATGCCGGTCAGTAACAGGGGGAAGTTCTAATCAAAGGACTGGTAGGTTCCCTGATGGCGGACTTCACCGTGCCCCCGGGCCCGTGAGGGGGCCCTCTGGGCCAGCTCCAGTTTCCCCAGCGATTGCCCTGCCCTACCTGTGTGACAGGAAAAGAACCCAACTTGGAAAACACCTCTGACTTTTCCTGGGCTGCAGCTAGCACATTCCACAACTTTGTTCAACACAGGAAATGACGCCTTTTATCTCTGGAGAGCAGAGCTTGGTGAATGGAGCCCAGGGGACGACAGCTCCCTCTTGTCCCCCATCTTGTGCACTGCCCACCTTCCCAACTTCACTTGGCAGCGCCGCAGTTTACCCTGGCAGGGAGAATGCCAGCAAGGGAGAAGGGTGTTCCCTTTGACTTCGACTCTCTCTTTCAAGGGTTCCTTTAGGTGACAAGGAAGGAAAGGTCGGGGTGGGGTGGGATGGGGAGGCAGGGACAAAGGGGGGCGGGGTTGCGGGGGACAGAGGGCAGGCCTGGAATCATTTCAAGTCCTTCTGTGCAAACACACGTGTGTGCCGTGGGCCTACATTATTTACCCAGGGAGCACCAACAGCCCGCTCTGCCCCTGGGTCCCCCACCCGGCCTATGTCCACACCCTATCCCTAGGTGACCCCACCTCTAGAGAGCCCCTCTCAGCCTCCCACCCCTCCCACCTCTCCCGCCCCATCCACATCCCCAGAACTGCCATGTCTGCCACGTTAGGACAGTTACTGCCAACACCCTAGGCCATATGCCAGGGAGACGAAAGCTTTTCCAAGAAGCAGGAGCATTTGCCTCCCTCGTGGCCCTCCTGTTTGCTTGGCCTCAGCTGCAGGTAGGATGGAAGGGAGCTACTATGTTTCAGGGCCCAGTGGCATGAGGGGTCAGTGAGGATGAATGGGCAGGGCAGGTGGCAGTGTTTGCCAGGCGGGGATGTGATGACACATTCCTGACACGTTTGTCAACCGAACTGCATAGCTCCCTCATTCTTCCCCTCCCTGGGAGAGAGACACCATGGGACTTATTCTCAGGCCCATGTGTGGATGGGGAAGTTAAAGTGCAGCTAAATGACTTGGATCCAGGTCTTCTGACCCCTGCCCCAGGCTTCCTTCACCAGCAGGGAATTCCTGCCTCCTCCTCCACACCCTACACTCTAGCTCCCCGTCACGTTGCTCCTAAATGCCTAGGAACCTGCTTTCAAACAAGGCTTTGTCCCAACTCCAACACTTTTCTGGAGAAAAATGCTCACTGTTAAGAAACTTTGAAAGCAAGAGACATACACAGTCTAAGTGTGTTCAAAATTAACTGTGCGGCCGGAAGAAAGACCCGGTCATTCGCAGGTGAGCGGTGGTAAAGAACGTCTGAGCCCTGCACCCAGGTCTGGGGGCACCTTGGTTTACCCATCAGGGAGCCAGGAGCTGGTGTGCCTAGTCCGCAGTTCTGGCCTCTCCTCCAGGCTCCGGGGCCAGACACGGTGGGAAGAGAGAACTGCAGTGAGCACCTCTTATGCCCACGATGTTTGCACACCTTCCCCCTTTTACTACTCGCAGCCTGGGGGACATGGACGCGAGGGCCTCATTTTATAGATGTGGACAGCGAGACCCAGAGAGGCCGTGCAGCATGCCCGGGGCCCCAGCTGGCCGTGTGTGAGCTCTGCGCGTGTACCGCCGCCCCTCTGAGCCCTCTGCTCTGGCCAGTTCCGTCTTCCCAGGGTCCTGCCCACCTCCTCATGGGACAACTTGATCCTCCGAAATCTATTCCCATCTCCTGAGTTCTCATTCCACCCCACTGTCAAGCACATTTCTCTCCACCACCCTTTCATCAAGCAGCCCTGTGCTCAAAAACCTCCCATAGCTCCCCATTGCCTGTCCTGCCTGATCCCAACGGCTGGCAGGCACCTCTGAGCCCGCCCCTGAGCCCACCTCCTACCCAGCCCAGGTGCTCAGAGCCAGACGGAACCATATGTTGTGTGATTATATTATAGAAAGAAACAACAAAGCCCAGAGTGCGGAAGGGATTCATTTGCTGGTTAGTGACAGGGTCTGGATCAGAACCAGGGATCAATAGACATATCCAGGTTCTAATGATAACAACATTTCTCCCTGTCCCCTGTGTTGTAGGCAGAACATGGTTATTTGTCTTGTGTTGTCCCCCTGACCGAGATGCCACTCTCTTCTCATCACAGTTAAGCCCAAAGCCCTCTTCTCCCAGGAAGCCCTTCCCAACAGCTCCTTTGTTTGATTTCCCAGCTCTCCCCATCTATGCCACGCAATTCAGCCCTAATTACATTCGCAGGGGACTGTTTGCCCATGGGGACACATGTTTACTGAGAAAAATGATGCTCAGAGAGTGGTAGGGACAAGCTCATAGTCACACAGCAGAGTTGGGACCAGGCTAGAGGCCTGATGACTCTCAGACCACTGCTCCATAGGCCTGGGGTCCTGGGACAAGCCCGGTGTTTGCCAGGCCCAGGTCCCTCGAACAGCAAGGGGCTGCCCGTCTCCTGAGTGATGCCTCCAGCTTCCCAACCTCGAGCTGATCTTTTCTGGATTAAGACACATGTCTGGATTAAGGTTCAAGGTGTCCTGGCTCCTCCTGCCCCACAAGCTTTGGCTCTGACTCCAGACAAAGAAACTTCGGGTAACAGCTGGTGGAAGCCAAAGCTCAGAGACAAGGCCAGACCCTGGGGCAATGGCCAGAGGGATTAGCCACTTCTGGCTCCTTGTCTTAGCACCTCCTACTCCCCAGGAAGACAGATCAAGGAAAGAAGGCAGGGGGACCCAAAGTCACAGATTTATAGTAGCTGTTCCCTGCCACTGCCTGGGCCTCTCTCACCCTTGGGGACAGGAATGTGCTCCTGCAACTCCCCTGCCTCCAGGGTTCTCACTCCCACCCCGACCTGGCATCCGAAAAAGATCCCCTGATAGCTTCTGAAACGACTGAGCTGTCACGGTTTGGAGCCTGTCTCCCACATTCTGCTCAGCCCAGGCTCCCAGATCTTTACCCCTGGGGATTGTAGGTAGGGTTAATGTACCCAAGTCCCCACTTCAACCCTGAGGCCCAAACTCGGTCTGCCCAGAGCCCAGGACCCTGGCTGCAGACCCCAGTGAGAAGAGCACTGAGGGACAGTGGGTGGGGCAGGGGGTCACAGAGCCACCACTCAGCCCTGCATCAGCCTCGCGTCCACAGAAACAGACCCCTCAGGCTTTCCCACTGGAGCCCGCTGCCCTGGCTGTCAGCCCCGTGCTCTCTCCACCCAAAGTGCCTCCTCTAATGGGTCAGAGTCCAGGGGCTGCTGGGGAGTGACTAGAACCTGGCTGGGACCCATGCAGAGTGAGCAGGGGCCACATGGGCCTCCCCTCAGCCTGCTGGTCAGCACCTTGGAGAGAAGCCGAGCCTGGCCAGGTCACAGAAGTCTGGGGCCAGTGCCGATGACCAATTGAGCCTTCCCAGCCCTGAGCTCAGACTCCTCCCTCCTCTAGACATTTCCTGCTCACCTTCCTGCCCTGTCCGAGAAGAAGTGCCCCCTCACTTCTTCTTGGACAGCGCTGGCCCTTCCATGCAACCCCAGCTCCCTTGCCCTTTGAAACTGCCCTTCAGACTACCTGGACTCAAGAAAAGCGCCCAGCCTCCTCCTCACTCAGCACTCTTCATGATCCAGAGTGCTGGCCTCTGCCCAGTGCACAGACCACCCTCCTACCCAGGAAGAGGTCCCCGATGACCGCCTCCAGGCAGCTCTGGCCCTCTCTCAAGCACCAGCTCTGGCCATCCCGAAACACCTGCTGCCACCGGGGTCCCTGTGGGCAAGAGAAGGGAGATGGGGTCCTGGGAGCACTTGCCTGTCTTGGGCTCAACTTAAGACTAGAGGAGGTGGGTTTCTTCTAGACCCTGTGGCTATCCCCCCATCTCAGATTCTGGAATCATCCAGGACACTGACCTAACCTCCCCAGGAGCCCTGTTCTCTGGAAGGTTCAACTTGAAGAGCCAGCAAGGGGGTCCGAGAGCTGGGATGTGGGGGACACTTGGGGGATCGGGTGAGGCCATGGAGGAACCAGAGGGTAGGTAGGGAGTTGGGAAGCAGGGCCACGTAGCAAGAGGATGGGGCACAGGAAGCAAAAGGGTCAGGGAAACACCGAGGATATCGGGTCTCTACCGCTGTTCCCACAGTTCCCATGGGCAGCCAGGAGCCTGTAGCGCAGTTAGATCAGCTCTGTGTCCCATTCACTTCTACTGCCTCAATGACAGCACTTCCAACCCCTTTGGGTCCAGGTGAAGGCCAACTAAATAAACCCTTCACGGGGCCTTCCCAGCTCTCCCCAGTATTATTCCTGCCGGACAGACGAGGCTGCTGTGACTGCTATGCGTGCCTGGCCCTGGGGACTAAGTAGGGATTGGAACTCAAGACTGAGAGCCACCCTCTGTTTGGGCGGCCGTGTCTCCCCCCTGCACACATCCTCTGGAGTTGGTATCCAGAGCCCCTGGAAGACTTGGCCCACCCTTCTGAGCAAGGAGGGCCACCCACCCTGCTGCGCCTCCCCTCACACACTGCCCGCCAGGCCCGGCGCCCAGCCCAGCAGCATCTCTTCCCCAGCTCCTCTAGCTGGACCAGACCCCCAGCCGAGACAAGCCTGGGCCAGGGACCAAGCGAGGCTCATGTCAGGCCAGAACCCTGACTTCCCGTCACGTCAAGTACAAATCCTGCCAGACTCTCTGTTTCCAGAAACAGCAAATCACTTCATTCAGCTCTGGTTGAGCACATACTGTGTGTGAATATATTTCATGTTTCAGCACTCAGCCAAGTTCCTTTGCCTCACCTGGGCCGCCATGCGCGGCCATTGGCATGTCCTACCTTTGATCACCACGCAATGGCTGACGGGGCCGGGCCTGCTCTCTCCGTTGTCATCTCCACAAACCCTCTTCTGCAGCCCCTTCTCTTCCCTACTCCACTAGCGCCTCATCTATACCCCCAACACTTGCTACCAGGCAGGGCTGTGAAGTTTCATGGGCATCTGGTCCCCACATTCCTGCCTCCGCTGGGCAGCCAGGCCCCTGCTGTGTGAGCACAGGGTTTCACCTGCTTCTGCCTGTCGCACCTTAACCGATCCTCTGGGCCCCAGGCAGTCAAATGGGGACTCATAAAGACAGCGTGCCGCCGGGGTTTGGCACGACAAGGCAGAACAGTGATGTGAGCACACATGCCAGTCTCCCAGGAGGTTCCCCTCATCTCTATTCTCACGGTCTCTGTAGCCTCCTCCGGGCCCAGCACAGCGCTGGAGAGGGAGGGTGCCCCACGGACTCTGGGTGAATGCGTGCAATGCTGACAGGGCTGAGGGGGGAACTGTGTTCTGAGCCCCAGTCTGAGGGCCAGGGAGCACACCTCGGGGCTCGGAAAGGGGGTTTTAGGACAAAGTAAAGGTACTACAACATTCAGAAAAGGATAAAAAGTCCAGAATGAACTGTCTTAAGAGACTAAGAAGAGAAATTTCTTCCAAAAAAGGTTTACACGGGGGTGTGTGGATTATCAACGGTTTATTGGGACCCCAGGCAGCTACCCTCAGACCTCTGTCCTCTGCATCCCAGGGCTGGAGGGAGAAGGAAGGGCTCCTCCATTCTGGTGGTGGCCTTTCTACAGTCCTGGGTGGTCGCCGGTCCTTCCGGCCACCAGCAGGGTCACACCAGATTCCAGCTGGGAGGAGTGGTTGGAGGGAAAAGGACACTGATTGTCCCCTCGTCTGGAGGCCCCACTCCACCGCTGAGAGTGGGGAGAGGAGAATCTGGCAGGGACACCTCCTGGGCTGGGAACATGCAAACGAGGCATGGGAAGGAGCCAGGCATTAAATGTCAGGAAGAGCCCAGGGCAACTCAGCTTGTGCAAAGTTTGCTTTGGGAAGAGTTGTTCCACCTGACACACCACTTGTTTGGCTGGGGGCGCAGGGTGGGGCATGGAATGGGACAGGTTGGGGGGATGGTCCCAGATGGTCCCAGGTTTGAGGCCCAACTCCTTAGCTCTGGGACTAGGGCAAGTGACTCAGCTTCCTTTGAGACTCAGTTGTCCCATCTGTTAAATGCACTGTGAAGACCACGTCTTAAAGGGGGTTGTAAAGATTAGGGAGAAGATGGATTAAAATCCCTTGTGAATTACAATGGGCTGGGCATACATGAAGGTGCCACCTGGGAGCAGGTGAGGGGATGGGGCTGGAGAATAGGGAAAGGAAAGGTAACAAGGTGCAGAATGAGGAAAACAAAAGAGCCAAGCAGTAACCTGGGTGGAGGGGCAGGGCTACAGGGCGGAGTCTGAGGGAGAGTTGAGGATGGCGGTGAGGGAAGCCTGGGCCTTGCCCTGAGGTCATCTTGCCCTGAGGTCATCTTGCCCTCTGGCCCAGGCCAAGGCCGCTGTCGCCTTCAGCTACCCCTCCCTGACCTCTAGGAGGAGCCAGAGCCAGAGCCAGAACCAGAGCCGCCGGCTCCCCCCGACCTCAGCCTGGGAGGCAAGCCTGGGAAGGTACACGAGTCTTGCAAAGCTGGCAGATCTAGCCAGCCAGCCTGCCTCCACCAACTCCTGCACAGCCTTCAAATCCCAGCTCCAGCTTGTCCCCTCCACAAAGCCTCCTTTAACAGACGAAGCCACCTGTCCCACTTTCTCATCACAAAGGCAAGTCAGGGAGGAAAAGGCAAGTTCAGGGAGGAAAAGTGACTGGCCCAAAGTCACACACCATGGACCTTACTTAACCCATTCCTTCTCTCCGTCCACCCAGAGGGCCTTTGTCCCCCGGTCGGCCCGAACTGACCTCCCAGGTTACACTCAAGCTGCACCAAGTCGTTTAGCACAAAACTATGCTCTAATTGTTTGAGAACTGTTAATTTTATATCTGCGATGACCTCAGTGGTAAAAAGTGGGTTCTCCTACGTTCTTCTACTTGCTGCCCGGGTGACAAGTTCTGAGCATTGATTGAGCACCTACTGGGTGCCACCTATTCCCTCAGGCTTGGTTGACAGAGTAGCTCTATCTACTTCAGAGGGTCCTTGTGAAAATCAGCGGCATCGTATCTGCTAAAGTCTGTTATAATTGGTAACACAATAAGCATGTCCGGTAGGGACTGAGTTTTCAGCTCTGGGTCCCCTGTTTACCTAGAGTGGAGGAATCGCTTATCCAATCATGGTTACGGGCTCTCACAGGGGAAGGTGGTCCCCGATCCCATGAGAGACCACCTCTTCCACTCCCCAACCTCCCTGGAGCCCTGAGGATGTACCCTCTCCCCAAATTTCTGTGTACTTAGCATGGTGAGGCTCCAGGTGGGGGAGTCCCTGGCTCTGCCCCACCCCCAGGCGGTCAGGGGGCAGGCAGGACTGTCCCCCTGCTGGACTTGGCCATGGTCTGGGTCTACCTGCCTGATGGGGCATCTCCTGCCCATCCCTGCCTGCCACCTCAGAGCTGGGCAGCTCGGTGCCTGTTTGCTTTGTTACTCAGCTGAGCAGCTGGTGCTGGGGAGATGCTGCTTTATTGGGGGTGCTGTGAAGCTGTTTACTGGGGAGGTGGGGGCAGGAAATGAGGCCAAGCCCCAGCTCTGGACAAGGAGGAAAAGAAAGGCCATGACCTCCATAGAGGGGACAGGCCCTGAGGCTTATGGCTTGGGTGTGGACTGCTGGGTGGGCCCAGCTGGCAGGGCGAGGTGAGGGAATCCGGGGCTAGCTTGGTGGGCCTGCCCGCTCCCGAATGTGCACAGATGGACACACATACACACATGCACACGTGCATGTGTGCACAGGCTCACACATGTGCACACATGTGCATGCACACATGCATGCGCAACCGCACATATACACATGTGCACACACAGGCACACATGGGCACACACAGGCACGTACCTTGTCAGGCCCCAGGGGAGCCCCCAGCCATCCAGGCCCTTCAGCTTTCCACCCTGTCGTCTCTGCCATCTACCTGCCTATCTCCGGAAGACATCTGGCAAGTCTTAGAAATAAGCACCTTCAAGGACACTTGTTTCTTTCCTAGTGTGCCCAGGCTGGGGCCCGCAGGCCTTCTGCTCCTCCGTGTACCCTTGCAGCCAGCTGTTTGCTCCACAGCTCCCCAAACACCTGGTTCCTGTGCCCACTGCTGCCCTGAAGGGCCCCTGGGCTCTGGGCCTGTCTCCACTGCTCCAACCTGGACCCTGGCTGAGCTTCCCTCCAGAATCCCGCAAGCCCCTGCCTGCTTGTGGCCCGGCCCCAGAGAGACCCTGCCCTTGGCCGAGCAGCCGGAGCTGGCGGCAGCAGAAAGGCTGCTGTGCTTTGCTAGCCAAGCAGAGTGGCCAGATCTCAGGGCCGAGTGTCTGTATCTACAGAGCCGCCACTGTCAGGTGGGCAGGTGGACTCAATGGCAAGCCCAGATGGGAATATCACAGACACAGCGTGCCGGGCCTCGCCAGGCCACGGGACTCACCCAGGCTCTGGGGTCGGCCCAGGGAGGCAGATCTGGCAGCATGCAGAGGCAGGGGCTTCTGAGGGTAGAGGACCCAGGTTGCAAGGTCAGTGGTGCCTGGAAGATTCGTTCTGAGCTTACAAAGTGCACCTCTAAGCCCTCCCAGTCGCCTACCTCCCCACAGCTGGCAGAGCACTCAGTACCTCCCACTGGACTTACCTGTTAGCTGCCTGGTGCCCAAGGAGTTGCCTGCTGCAATGGCAACCTTGGAAGCCAGGAGGAGGTAGGGCAGCTTGGGCCACTGCTGGGTCTCAGCCAGGCATCTGGGGAGCCAGTGGGACCACGGGCCAGCAAGGCTGGGGGCAGGGGTGACACTCAGGTGGGCCTGGCCAAACTCGAAGGGCGGTCTCTCAGGTCTCAGGGCTGCCTGCCCTGTAGGGATCCCGCAGCCCCCAGACCAGGGCCACCTGTTGTTACTGTGGCAAGAGGGGCTTACAGGGGGGCCACGGTGGGCTCTGGGCACCAGGTCTGGGTCTTCGGGGCAGTGTGGACGCAGGTGGAGTGCAGGAATGTGCTGGGAGGAAGTCACGCAGGGATGAAGAGTTGGCTGGGCCTGATTTCCCATTATAAGTAATCCTTCCTTATTTACCTGAACAAATACGCTCCCTGCTTACCTCAGATCACAGGCGGGCTCTTGGTTAACCCTTGAGGGCCTTCCCCTCCTCAATGAGGAATCTATACCCTGGCAGCCAGGGAACTCAGTCACTCATTCACTCACTCACTCACTCCCATTCGTTATTTGATGCATAGTTACTGAGCTTATGCTATGTGCCAGGCACAAGTATATATCAAGAGGGAGCTGGGTGGGGCACTAAAGGGGGTCAGTCGAGGCTGGGGGACAGACAAGCAAGCAGCAGTGGAAATTCAGAGCCACAGTGGAGGGCTGTGGGAGCCCTGAGGTAACGGAAATCAGGGAGGGCTTCCTGGAGGCAGTACTATCTAGCTCCCCCGTCCAGGGTTGACGGGAGCTTCAGAGAACCCTGAGTAAAGAGACCTGAGGCTCATGGGCCCATGTACCCTGTGCGGGAACTGCAGTCCCTGTGCCCCATAGACACATGCCCGGCACACAGTGATGCTCAGGAAGGACTTGTAGCTCGTTTTCCCAGCCCCAGCCCCAGCCCCAGCCCCAGCCCCAGGTCAGACAGTAGCAGCTTGTTCTCCCACAGTCCCTGAAGGGTGGAGGAAGGGAGAGGAGTCTGCGTCACACCCACACCCAGGCACCCACCACCCAGGCTCCTCCGCCTCCATGAGTCCAAGGAGGACCACGCGGTCATGCTCGCAGCTTCCTCCTCATCCTGCCAGGTGGGTTGAGGGATGTCTTTGGAGGGCAGGTCTGTGCTCCTTTTTCCCTGGAACAGCTTGGAAGGCTACTGACCACCCGCTACCTCCATTCTGTCACACGAGAGCATTTTAGATACTGTTTATTGTTATTTTCTAATTTCAGAAGGAATTGTGTGACTGCCCACAGCATGAGTATTCTAGAGCTTCAGGAAGATTCCAAGGCCTGCAGAACTAGTTCCCTCCCCTTAACTGATGCCATAACTCTCTGACACATGGTTGCACTTTTCACTCTGGAGAACCCTGTGCTTGGCTATTATTGTTACTAGCACCTTGGTGAGGATGAGGTATCAGAGTTGTTCCTAAGAAGGCTGGGGTAGGATGGGATGGAGGGGATAATACAAAGTCCTAAAATGGCTACAGTCAACCACCCCTGCTCTCCAGGGTCAATGAAAAGAAAGGTCCTACATTCCCAGGGAGAACCTCCTCCAGGATGTTCTTCTATACTCTGCTCCCTTGCGGGCATGCAGCCCTCCTCTCCATTCTCACAGAATCTTGTGCTTACATCAGCACTCTGATGCAGTCACTAAAAATAATGGCCACTGCTTAATAAGCACCTATTCTATGTCACGCACTTTTCAGTGCTCATGAGATGATGTGATATTAATCATATTACAAATACTATAACATGTGTAAGGACAAGGAATACCCAATAGATATTTATTGAAGGGATCAGGTGTCAGAGATAGTTACCTCCAACACCCATCAACCCCTTTCCTCTGTCACAAGCCCCTAATTTTTAGCTAGGAACTTGGCTATCTGGAATTAAGACTATCCCAGTCTCCCTTGCAGCTAGATGTGATCAAGTAAAAGTGTCATGTGCCAATTTCTAGGAATCTTTCTTAAAAGTAAGTGGGCAGATATCATTTGACCCTTTTCTTTACTCTTCCTCGTTTTGCTGCCTGGAATGCAGCTGTGATGGCTGGAATTCTGGCTACCATATTGGACCATGAGGACAAGATGATGGAGCAGTGAGTTCGAAGGAGCTAGGTCTCTTGATAACTACATAAAACCTTCATACCAAGTTTTGGACTGCCTGGTAAGGACTTTTGAGAGTGACAGTCCTTTTGATTTTGTTAAGTAGGATCTTTTATTCAAAGCCAAGCCTGATCCCAGCTGAGACAGCCCAGAAGATGGACAGATAGATAAAGATAGAACACTCTTTCAGCCAGAGATAATATCTCACTTCTGGGTGGCAATGGAAAGGTGCCTGCTCACACCGTGCAAAACTTTGACCTTGGGAAATCTTCCTTTTGAATACTGGGTACGGCCTTATTCTGGGCCCAAGGGAACATTTTATGGGTGTTTCCAGGGAAGGGTGGGCCTGACAAGGCTAAGGTGTGCTGAGTGTGGACAGTGATTCTACCTGTCCAAGTCTGGAACAAGGGGAAAAAAAGAGTGTTTTGGGCCCTGGTTGGTGTGGCTCAGTGGATTGAGTGCCAGCTTGTGAACCCAAGGGTCGCCAGTTCAATTCCCAATCTAGGGCACGTGCCTGGGTTGAGGGCCAGGTCTCCACTAGGGGGCGTGTGAAAGGCAACCACACCTTGATGTTTTTCTCCCTCTCTCCCTCCCCTCCCTACTGTATAAAATAAATAAATAAAACCTTTTAAAAAAGAAGAAGAAAAAGAGTGTTTCTAGAACCTAGAAATGTCTAAGAGAGGGCAATGAGAGGACTTGCCATTCCCTCAGCTCAGACTCACTTGGACGAAGGTGCTAAGAGGCTGCTTGGTGGATGTTGATGGTGGGCTCATGGCAGGTTTGGTGTCTGTCTGGGGCAACTCTGGTGAACTCCAGTGGGAGGGATGACCAAATGGGGCACATCTTAATCCATGAGGGGACCCTGGCGACATACACCTTCTCAACACCTTGATCCATCTAGCATGGTGTCATGGCACCAGCTTAGAATTTGACCCAAATATATATCTTGGTTCTGTCACCTTCCACCTTCATAACTTTGGCCAAGTATCTGAAATGTGCTGAACAAGCCTCTCCCTGTCCCCAGAGAATTCTCAAAGCTGTTGTGAGGGGTGAGATCATGTTGGTCAAAGCGCTCTGTAAACCTAGATGCTCTGTACCAGCACCTTGCTGATCACCAACCATATGCCATGTGTTTGACATGTATCATCATCTTATGCCCCGTAGCATTCCCTCCAGGTAGATATTATTATGCTCGTTTTTCAGGTGAAGACACTGAGGCCCGAATGTTTAAAATGTCTTGCCCAAGGTCAGTGGCTGGGAAGCAGACTCAAATTCAAGTCTGCAGTTTCCTTGACCACCCATTACTATACCCCATCCTCTAAGGGTCAGCTCCCAGGTCCCTGGCACGGGCCACTGGGTACACTAGACCTCCTGCCTTCTGCCCACTGCTCCCAAAGGCTGATCTCCTCTCCACCCTCTTCTGGCCGATGACCACAGGGTGAAATGTGTCCCATCTGTTGTGGGTGATGGCTGCCCCATATCTACACTCTCCAGCCCTGGGGTCTGGCACACCACTCATGTTGGCCCAACCTGACTTCATCCTGGAACTTTCTTCTGACCTACTGAGATAACATCTTCTCTCTTGCCACTGGGGTTTCTGAGCCATAAGATGTGAGTTTGTAGCTGTCACCCCAGGGAGAGTGTGCTGCGACAGGCCAGGCAAGGGCCGGAATTCCTGACATGCTGCATGAACACTAGGATGAACCAGTCACTTCCTTTTCCTGTTGTTCAAGTGGGTTTAAATCGAGACTCTTCTACTTGTGATGGAAAGAATCCACGTCCTTCAGCCCATCTCTAGAGCCCTGTCCTACAGAAGGCTTTCCCACAGCCCCTCCAGCCCTTGTAGATGTCACAAGTCCCCATTCTTTGTGCTCTGATTTTTCCCTGCAGCCTTTCTTTTCTTCCCAAGATTCTAACTCCTTGAGGGCAGAGACCCTGGAGCAGCTGGCAGCATCAGACCCAACACACAGATTTTGACTCTGGAGCAGCTGGCCTGAGCGTCCCTCCCTGCCTGGAACTTCTAGCCACCAGCCCCTCAGAGAGTGGAGAGCACTGAACAGGAAGAGGGACGCAGGGCGCGGGCGCAGGTGCTGCTCTTTACTAACGGTGTCATGACCAGCTACTCTTGGGCCCCTTCCGGGTCCCCCTCACGTCCTCTGTGAAATGGAAATACTTGCCCTGCTGACCTTGTAGGGCTTGTGATGAGTGAACATCAATTGACAAAGGAAGTGGACGCACTTTGGAAAAGGCAGACTGTCTCTTCCGTGGGTCCTAGCCTTTTTTCTGCCCTCAACTCCCACGCTTTAGGAGCTGTAGTCTGGAAGTGACACAGGGACGAGGCTGGGACCCACACGAGGCACTGAGAAATGGGGCTGCCCTGTCCCGGGCTCTGGCTTTGAGAAGGTGGGAACAGGGGAGAGGACTCCCCTGCTGAGGTGTGAGGAGCCTGGGACTGGTCACCCCATGGGCCTAGTAGGCACCACAGAAGTAACCCTGGTTTGTGAGGCCCAGAGACCATTAGCCCTCGTGGGACAGCAGAAGACCCCGAGACCAGAAAGGCTAGGGAGCCGACACAAAGGCACACAACAGGGCGGGGATCCAAGTCCTGACCCCAGCCCGTGCTTGTGCGTTCACTTAATCCTAGTAAGTCCAGCCCCTGAGGGGTTTGTTGGCCTTCTCATGCACAGGTGAGGAACAGAGACTCCTTGAACTTCCCCAAAGTCAAGGCTAAAAAGCGGC